ACAGGATGTTACGGAAGCCATGTGGAGTGAAGGAAATGCAGACTTGTGACTGAGGTCTTTGAAGGTCTGCACCTGCTGCTCTGCAGGACTGAGATAGCATGCCATATTTCACACATAGAAACACGATCAAATGGCAGATAGGAATCTTCTCTAAAAATATATTTTAAAGAAACTGAGAACACTAGCTTTTTAGTCAGGGAACCAATACACACGAACCCTTGGTGTTTTTTTGGTACTGGGTATCAAACTCAGGTCCTTGCACTTGCAAGGCAGTCGCCAGAACCACTGAGCTAAATCCCCAGCCAAACCTTTGTTTTTCAAAGTAAGGGCAATTGACGCGGCTGGCACACAAGGTACTCCTAACCCATATACAAGCCTTACAGGAAGTCAGCGAGGGAGAACTTACCATGGGTTCATTTACAACACTCTTAGGCACAAAGAAAGTGACTTGGTTGACATCTTTACTCTGAGATATACCAAAAGTTTACATAGAGTAGAAGACATTTTTATCCTTTCTTCCCATTCCTTTGGTATATTTTTAATTACTTAGTTTGGGTACAGTTATTGAATTTGTTTACATAACACAGAAGAGGCAATTGTCATTTAAAAATTCTCCCCTAGCTTATTAAAATTTTATTATAGGACCTGAAAAGGCACATGCACTAGATTGTCCAAGGAGGTAATAAATTACAAATACATGGTGGTACAGTATGAACCTCAAAAATCAGTAAATTGCTCACATATGTTATCTGTAAACAGCAGTCTATAAATGCACACATGCCACAGATTTCTATATATTAGATAGTGGTTTTCTGGTTAAGTGGATGGGCCCTGGAATCATTTACATCAGTAACTAACATATTTATAGTTTAACACCTCTACATCTATTCTTATTCAGCCGAATTGTGAGCATAACACTGTTTTCTCTCAAAGGTTTTTAAAGACTATATAAAATAAGGAAGTAAAATTAATGATTCACTTTCCTCTTAAATTCCTTTAATAATTTGCCATTGCCCTTCTCATAAAATCTCAAATCCTAGACATGGCCTGTAAGACCCTACATGTTGCGGCAACCTTTCTAGCTTCAACTTGTTCTCTGCTATGTTATTCACCATGTGGCTGAAAGACCTTTTTTAAGTTCCTCCATGGATCCTGCCTTTTACTATTTCTGAGGTTTTTACGAACACTTTTCTTTGCCTGGAACAAATCTTTGCTCTCCCCCATGCAGGCAGCGCACACACAGCCCACTCCCAGACAGCCTTCTCAGTTTAAATGTCACTTGTTTAAAAAAAGACTTTTCTGATTCACCAATCAAAAGCATTCCTTTTCCTTACATTTCTCTAGCATAGAATATTGTTTGTTTTTAGCAATATGAATGCTGTGGTACTTGGTTTCAAATGAATGGAAAGGCAGACAAGAATCTGATACATGAGGATTTAAATATTACTTGTATGGCTTTAGACAATATATTATGCTCTGGAAGCCAGGGAAAGATTTCAACTTCCCATAGGTCTTACAGCTAGGAAGAACAACACGGGGTTCTGGGTGGCAGCCCATAGAAAGGGAAAATGGGGACGAAGAAGCAGGTGACAAGTGGCCAGTATCTCCTTCAGGATATACTGCAGGAATAGGGTGCTTCATGATCACAGGGTAGAACATGTGACCCGAGGTGTGGCAGGGCAAAGAGTGACCTGGAGGACTACAAACTCGCTGATTATGAACAGAAGACTGTGAGTAGGGGAAAAGTATTTTCTCTGTTCCCAATTAAAACATATTAATTTAAGCCATAAACAATAATTTTTGAGGTTAGTGATAAGTATCAGCAAATTAATGTGGTTTAAACATAATTATGCATATACATATTGTAAAAATATAAATAAAAACATAGGTATGTATATACTATGGAATATATGTCATATGTTTTAAATATATACCCTATATACCTAGTGTATATATATTATACATATATATTTATACACAATATATGTCACACATTTATAAATTAAAATCAGTGTAATTATTTGGGTAGTATCTACCTCTGCTATCGTACTGTACTAAGCTCTAGGAAAATAGTGAAGCAGATCCACTTTGTTTACCTTTGTGACGGGCTCATCACATCTTAAAGTATCTATAAAAATTAGCTGAGTGATAACAGCTGTAAAGTTTTTAACATGTTATTCAAATTATTTTAAGAACTCAATAGCTTCTTGAGTAGCTATTATGATGAGGCTACTGCTGCTCTTTCTGCTGGTAAAATGGTTTTCATATTGTGGGTGTTAAATTATTGTCTGGGTTCTCTATTTCTGTTTCAGAAATCCATAAGCTTGCCTCAAGGCAAGCTTGTCTTGTACTGATCATAATTTCAGGTAACATCCCTAGTTACGACCTCCACAACTCCTGAACCATAAGTTGAGGAGAAAAAGAGTTTGAAGAGACTACAGCAAACTAAAGAGTATATATCCTGTTCAAAAAAAGCCAGCCAGTTTTCCAATCCATTTAGACTTGCTTTGTGTGAATGTAGGTTCAGTACTATCAGCTCTTCTATTTTTAAAGTTATTTTTATATCTGCTTTTGAGAAAGGGTCTCATTACATAGCATAGGCTACATGAGCCTCCAGCTTCATGAAGCTCTATCATGAGTCTCCAGCTCATGATACTCCTGTCTCACATTTTCAAGGGCTGGGAATACAGATATGTGCTACATGGGTAACTCAGACCCTCTGATTTTTAAAGAGAAACTAAAACCCCCATTCTTTTCATCTAAAATCAAAATTTCAGAGCCCAAATAAAAATTGCTGAATTCTATGTGGTCTGAAACAACCTGTGGTCTACCTGGCATCAGCGTACCCATAAGCAATTCTTTGGTGACCTTTGTTATCACAACAGTTGTTTTAACACATGAGGTTTTATCAATCATTTCTATAGTCCATTTAACTCCGACAATGATGTCAGTGATTTCTGCATGTTCAAATGCATTTCAATAGTTTTATTTCATTGATTTATAAGGAATCTATTTGTAGCTGTTGCTTTTATGTTACTATTTCCGTATCTTTTGCTTTTGTAAGTCCCTCCTGTATTTTTCTGGGTTTCAGGAGTTTTCAAAATTAATTATCAGTTATATGTGTAGCATTTTTAGCAAAAGGAAAAAATGGAGCTACAAAGAATTTTCAAGTTACAACACATAGTTGTTTTGTGTTTATTAAACTCAACTGAAGAAATACATGGGTAGAAGCAACACAATCACGTGGAAGCAATACTTTCTACATCCAGTGAGTGCTTTTCACTTGCAAATTCATCAAATGATAGTTAGTTTTTCTGGAATTTCTCTTAGCATTGATTTTTCTTTAAGGGTTTCTTTCCATACAACAATAAATTTAGATTTTTTTAGGTTAGCAACAGCAGAAATTAGAGGATATTAACAATTCAAAAGTGCAATCTTTTTATGGTTTCTATGTAACTTCTATACTACTGAGAAAAAAAATGACTGTGTCCTAAACTATGGCATAGTACTTAGTAATCATTTTTAATTTATTATATAAACAAATATTGCTTTTTTAGACACAAATGTTTATCAAATGCAATGGACCCTTGACTTACAAACTTGATTGGTTCCCAAGAGCTGGTTGTAACCCAAGTTGGTGGTAAGTCAGTACAGATGAGACCTGGATGTTTGCCTGGATACATGCTATATAGATAACATGAGGAAGATGAATCTTCCATTAACCTAATTAACCCAAGTTGTTCCTATGTCAGGCCAGCTGTAACTCGAGGTCCACTGTATCATAATACTTTACCTCCTTGTCTTTTGCAGAAAACTACTACAATCCTCTAAAATATATTTAAATGATAATTAAGCTATCTCTCTCCCTCTCTCTCTGTCAATGCAAATAACTGAAATGATGAAAATATAAACATCCAAGGTCAAATTCATGAGCATATAGGCAGAGATATTTATAATGCCACTGCTACCTAGGAAACAGTAATTCATTTTAAGATAAATCCCCATTTCAGAAGTAGTAGAGTATAAAATTAGCCATGCATGGTTACATACATTTATAATCTCAAAATGCTAGAAGTCTAAGGCAGGAGGGGATAGCAAGTTTGAGCCTAACCTGAGCAACTTAACAATTTAAAGAGACCCTGTCTCAAAATAAAAATGAAAAAGGGCTGGGGATATAGCTTAGTCAAAGCCTTGGATTTAATTCTCAGCATGACAAAAAAAAAAAAAAAGTCATGTTAGTGTCAATGAAATACTGTGATCTCTAGTACCTAAATGAATTTTTGAAATACTAATTTTGTGTGAAAATTTATGTTTACCTGTATCTTCATATTAAGTAATGATTTTAAAGCTATAATTCATTTATTTATTTTAATTGGTGAATATTAATAATACAGAATAATAAGATTTGTTCTGGTGTATTGGTACATGCATATAATATATTTAGTTAACTTCCTTCCTATTACATTTTCTTCCTTTATTCTCTCCTCCTCTGTCATCCTTTCCCATCTCTAAAATTTTACCTTCTAGTTTCCTGATGTCTCTCCTTTATTGATGGATTGATGGATGGATTCATTTTTAGATGGCCCAGATAAGAGAGAGAAAACAGAGTATTTAACATTCTGAGACTGGTTTATTTTGTTTAACATGATAGTCTCCAGTTCTATTTTACTGCAAATGACAAGATTTTGTTATTCTTTTTTGTGGAATAATACTCTATTGTGTATATACCAGTTTTTATCCATTTATCTTTTGATGGATAGCTAGATTGTACAAATATATTTCAAAATACATTTTTCCATAATGCTATCACTTTTTAGTCAGTAATTGAATTGACTGAATATTCTCTTCTGCTATTGTTTTTATGGTAACCTGGAAAAAAACTACTAACCAGACATTGTGGTGATAGAGCTAATAAAACATTCAAAGCAACTTCTTACAAAAGGCAAAAGGAGACAGCTTGATGAATACAAGTATTCCACCTTAATAAAACAAACTTTTACCTAAGGCCCTAGGACAGGTACTTCAGGAACACAAATCGTAATTAAAGAGCTTCTCCATAGTCAGAATGCAAAGCCAAGTGTCAATGGTATTCTAACACCAGTAAAAACAAAGTGCAACAGAAGAATCCAGGAGATAGTATTGGGTGTACCTGAAAATAGGGTACAACATCTTCCTCCAAAAATCTGACCTCAGAAAAGAAGTCCGTACAGTCAAAACTTTAAAAGATCTCTCGACAGCATCACAGTTTAACTGCAAAGACACAGGCTTTGACTCTACTTATCTGGGTTTGAATCCCATCTCTTTTGTTTACTGGTGATAAATTCTTAGATGAGATAATCTTTTGATTTTTTCCTTGACTAAAAAGCAGATAATGATGATAAAGCTTGCTTCCTGGTCCTGGGGAGATAAAAAAAAAAAAATTAACAGTTGTGTTACAGTGCCTGGTGTAGTATACATGTATTATAAGATCTTATTCCCTTCACTTATTATACATTAATTTGAACTGAAAACTACTAAACTTCTAGAGTGAAGGTGTGGTGGGAAATATCTTCAAATCTTAGAGGAAGTCATCTGTCAGAACTGGATTTACAAACAAGGAGGCAAAAATATTTAAAACAGATTAAGTATTTATATGAGTATATCTTCAGAAATTAAGGGTTGTATGTTGCAAAAATACTTAAGTGCTGGGGATTTAGCTCAGTGCTGCTGCTGCCTACCTCAGAAGTGCAAGGTCCTGAGTTCAATCCCTGGTACCAAGAAAAAAAAAAACTTCTTAAAACCATTGAAAAATAATAACTGGAAGAAATCACTATTGTGCATATTTAGGATAAATGAAAAAATAATCTCTTTAATATAAAGAAAGGGGAACCTTGGTTTGTAGTAAAATCCTCAGACACAGAATCAGAAAGGGTTTAGAAAGCTAGGTGTGTCCAAATATTAAGAAAGAAGTGAAAATAATACTGAACGAAAAAATGTAAAAACAAAATCAATCCCAAGTAAAAGCAAACAAACAAACAAACAGAAACAAAGATTCATTACACTCCTTGATTTCAAAACATACTACAAAACTGTGCTAACCAAAACAGCATAGTACTGGCATTAAAACAAACACATAGATCAATGGAATAAAATAGAAATCCCCAGAATAAATGCACACATTTATAATCACTTTTCTTTCCACAGACTTGCCAAAAACACACAATAGAAAGAGGATTATTTCTCAATAATGGTGTTGGAACAACTGGATATTTACATGAAGAATAATTCTATCTCATACCCAATGCAAAAGTCCATGCAAAATGGATTAAAGACTTAAATGCAAAACATGAATTAGTAAAACTACCAGAAGAATGTATCACCTCTAAGCACAGAAAAGAGATCATTATTAGAGTATAAACACTGGGAAAAACCGAATATTGACATACAGTAAGTATCTACAGTACATGACAAATATACCTTCGCTAACAATAGGAAAGAATTCAACAGAAAGAATGCAGCATCAACTATCTAAATATTAATAACACTTAATGGTTATATTAGTAAAGATAGAAGGGGTGGGTAAATGGAGAATGAAAGAAAAATCTGAAATGCAAGATGAGGAGGACAGAAAAAACGAAATAACAGTTCTTACTAAGGAAATTAATAGAATCAGATCAAAGTAAAGGAAAAGAACAAATAAGAAAGAAAAAACATTTAAAAATTAAAGAGGAAAAATAAATAATTTAAAGAAATCCAATTCCTCAAATCCCCCAAAACAGTGAGGAACGAGTAAAAAGAGAGAGAGAAAAATTAGTCCAACATTTTTTCTTCATATTTTTCAATGAGAGGGAAAATTCTACATTGAACTAAACAACACACTTTTGGATATGAATTCCAAGAAAGCACTCTTTTAAGAGTTCATCTTATTCCAATAAGAATAGCTATCACCAAGGACTGAAATAACAGCAAATGATGGTGTAATTGTTGGGAAAAAGGAACTCTTCTACATTGTTGATAGGAATGTAAACTAGTAAAGTATCTATGAAAATCAGTAAGGAGGTTCCTCAAAAAACTAAAAATAGAAATTCTACTGGACCCTGCTATATTTCTTTTGGTTATCTTTCTGAAAGAGGGAAAGTCATCCTATAACAATGATACATACATATTTATGTTATAGCAAGATAATTCACAATAGCTAAATTATGGAAGTGACCTACATGACTAACAACAGATAAATGGAAAATTAAAATGTGATAATACATACAATGGAGTACTACTCAGCCGTAAAGAAAAACTTGAGTCATTTGTAGGAAAATGGATGGATCTTGAGAACATAATGCCATGAAAAATAAATCATATCCAGAAGGTTAAATATTGAATGGTTTTACAAAACTCAAAATATAAATAAGTTAAAGAGCAAAATAAAAGCAAGATGTTAGCAATTACAGTTTGTGTTTACATGTACCCTAAGAGACTCATGTGCTCACAGGCAGGCATTTGGAAGGCAATTGGGTTAGGGGGGTGCATATGTGACTTGCTGTTAGGAGGTGAGGTCTGGCTAGAAGAGGCAGGTCACTGGAGGTCCTCTTCTTCCCCTCCCTCTCAAGTTCCTTCCTTCATTCTCTGCTTCCCTGCCACTACGCCATGAGGTGCTTCTCCTCCCCTATGCCAATGACAGAGAACCTCTTAGACCTTTCAGTGATACATACAGCCCACTGAAACACGTGTCCCACAGACTCACCACCACTGCACTATGCCATGTGGTATTACCTTTGAAGCCAGCTAACTACGGACTATCAACACGAGCCAAAATAAAACTATCCTTCTTTAAGTTGCAGGTGTCAGTTACTATACTATGTTTCAGAGACGATAACTAGGTAACTAAGGCATATTTTAGTGCCAGAAAGATGGGGTTGTTTCTTTGAGTATGTGGATCAGAAGCCTTTGGAATTGGTTTGCAGGAGGAGTCTGGAAAGATTTGGAGATGTCAGCTGGAGAAGCAGCCCTAGAATACTGCAAGTCAAGTTAGATGGGAGTCTGGTTAGAGCTCAGAAGACTCAGAATGCTGATAAAAATGCAGACAGTAAAGACAAGGTTCAGGAAGTATCAGCTGGTAAGAAGGACTCCCCTGGCATTTCAACTCTGGGCCATGTGTGCTATGGTCTGGCAGAAAAATTTGTCTATACCTTGCTCATGTCCTAATACTTTGTGGGTGATTAAGGGTAGCAGGTTAATCTGGAAGGGGAATTTCAAGGCAGTCCAACATTCAGGCTGTAACATGGTTACTGTTTGTTGCTTTTGGTGAAATACACTGTGAGAAACAGGAGTAAAAAGAGTTTTCAATTTTAAAGAATTTTCAGTTTTGCCAGAAAGAAAGCCTTGAAAATATGGAGTGGAGAAGAGTTTTGTTGTTGAAAAGATTAACATTAAAAAGAAGCAAAGTACTTTATAATGGAAAAGATAGCTTGATCACAATAACCAGCAGAACCCCATTTTGACTGGCTTAAACTTGCAAAAGTGAGGTACTTTGAGAAGAGAATATTAGGGCACCTGGCTAGAGAAAGAGAAAGGCAGCCTAGGGCATTGTTCCCTGAGGATTCAGATCACAGTACACAGCCCTCCAGGGTATAGAGCCATGATACAAAGGAGCCTGGCTACTGGTGGCAGACTTTGCATCCTTTACATGGTGTTGGTTTTATAGGTATACAGAATAAAAGAGTTGCGGGGTCAGGGAAGCTTCCACCGAGATTTCAGAAGAAGGCTTAGACAGCCAGGCAGTGTGCCTCTGAGAGGGAAGGGCCTGAAGCAATGAAAGAGAAGCTGGAAGTGCAAGGGAGAACCCAAGGTGTTGGAGATGCCAGGAAGGTGGAATCTCCGAGGAAAGCTGCTAGGAGTGTGTAAAGCCAGCCCCTCTAAGAGAGTTGCCATGAGATTTGCTCCCATAGGAAGGACTGTGGGGTCAGGGACACTTAAACCCTTCGGAATTGACATCTCACTGCCATGACTTGCCTTAGGTACTGGATGTAGAACTACAGGCTTAAATAGTTGCCTTGCTTGGTTTTGGTTTTATGTTGGTTTTTATCCACTTGGTTTTTATCCTGTATTCTTTCCTTTGGGAATGGGAATGTTTATCTTGTATCTTTGAATGTTGGTAGTGTTTATCTTTCTTTTTGATTTTTACAGGGCTCATTGTGAAGTGTTTGCTTTAAATCTGAGAGATTTTGGACTTGGACTTTTCAGCAATGCTAAAACTGTTAGGACTTTGGCAACTCTTAGAAATAGACCAATGCATTTTACATAAAGGGAAGTACATGTGTCTTTTTGGGGTCAGGGGTGGAATATTATGGTTTATATCTAGATGTCCCCTAAGGGTCTCATGTTCATAGGCAGGTCTTTTGGATGGTGGTTAGATTATGGGGTTAGAGTATAGGGTTAAGTTATTGCTGACTTGCTGTTAGGAGGTGAGTTCTAGTCAGAAGAGGAGATTGCTGGGGGTGTGTGGCCTGGGAGGATCTATCTTTCTTCTCAGCTCTTTCTGTCAAGTTTTGCTTCTTTTCCTCTGTGCCATGAGGAGCTTTTCTTGTACCATGCACCTGTGCCATGCCATCCTACGTCACAGCCAGCTGGCCATGGATTGTAAATGTGAACAAATATAAACCTTTCATCCTTTAAATTGGAGTTAGCAGGTATTGTGTTTCAGTTATAAAGAGAGTAGCTAAGACAGGAAACAAGGAAGTAGACTCTGTGGAAATGGGACAGGGTTCTAGGGAAGGGGGGGCAGAGTGAATAAACTGATCAAGATGTGATATATATCTATATATACATATATTACCCCAATTAATGTAATTATAATGTATTACAAACATACACTAAAAACACAACACTGAAATATAAAGTAGAATAGTGGTGTGTAGGAGATTGGGGAAATGATAAAGGATACACAATTTCAATGAGATAGAATTAAAAAGTTCAAAAGACCTGTTGTATAACAGTGAATATAAATTGTGTTTTTCAAAAAACTGCTGAAAGAGTAGAAGTGCTTTCTTTGCACACATACATAAAATTATGCCAATTAGCTCTGTTTAGACATTCTACAATGAGGACCCATTTCAAAACAAAACATTTTATAGAATATATTGTTTTGGTCAATTAAAAAGTAAAAGTAAGAAATGATTTACCTTCTTCTAGGCTACACAAAAAATAGAAGAAGTCTTGCTTCTAAAATAGAGGGTGAGTTAATGTACAAATTCTTTTGTAGAGGATGTAAAAAAAAAAATCTTAGCCAAAGTTCCCAGAAAGCATAACCTAAGACAAAAACTTGATTGTTAGGAGGAAACAAAATTGAAGCAAGACAGAAGGTGTGATGCGATGAAGTACAGAGGGAGCACAAAGCAAAGGAGGCAGTGATGACTGAAAATATAACCCTACTGATGAAGTCATTGCTGTCAAAGTTGCATGTTCAAATATTTAGGTTAGAATACAATTATTTCCTAAAACCTGAGAGCAAAAGGCAATAGGAGCTCTAAATTAATGTGTCATTTTTATTTATTTCAATCAATGAGTTAAATACTTTTAAGTAGATGCTTATCTATTGCATCTACATCTTTAATGTTTTATATTTGGCAAAAGTAAATTGGAGTTTTTAGAGAAAGTGGAGTCATTACTTTAAATTCTGTGAGTAATTATGGGAACTAGAGACATAGAGATAGTCTAAGTTGAAACTGGGTTTCAACTTGCTGAGATTAAAACTATACCCATATCTTTCACCATGCACTGAAATAAAATCTAAATGGATCAAAGATCTAAATATTAAAACAGAAACACTAAACCAGCTAGAAGATGTGGCAGGCACAACTCTTGAAGGCATTTGCATATGGTGGAGGAAAAGACCTCATGAACAAAATCTTGGTCACATGGGAACTATCACAAAGAATCAACAACTGGGATCTCATCTTATTAAAAAGCTCTTGCACAGCAAGAGAAACTACCAACCGACTGAAGAGACAACCCACAATGTGGGAAAAAGTTTTTACCAGCTGTTCTTCAGACAAAGGACTAATATCTGAAATATACAAAGGTATAAAAAAAAATCATATCACCACAAATTTAAAGACCCCAATACAGAAATGGGCATCTGAATTGAACAGACATTTCTCAGATGACGAAGTAGAAACAGCAAATAAACATATGAAAAAAAGTTTAACATCACTGGTCATTTGAGAGATGCAAATGAAAGCAATGATGAAATTCCATCTCACTTCAGAAGGCATGGCTGCTATCAAGAAATCAACCAAAAACAAATGCTGGTGGGGTTGTGAGGGAAAAGGAACTCCTTTTTCTACACTGTTGGTGGGAGTGTAGACTGGTACAACCATTGTGGAAATCAGTCTGGTGATTCCTCAAAAAACTAGGATTAGAGTTCTCATTTGACCCAGCTATTCCCTTTATTGGTACCTTCCCAAAATACTTAAAAGCATCATACCACAGCAATATATGCACACCCATGTTCATTGAGGCAGTTTGTAATGCCTGAATCTTAGAAACTGCCCAAATGGCCATTGACTGGCGATTGGATAAAGAAGATACATTTTTTAATAAAATGGAGTATACTCAGCCATAAAGATAAACTAGAGATATTTATAGCTACATGGATGGACCTTGAGACCATACTCTTAAGTGAAATAAATAGGACACCCGTACAGGTACAAATTCCCTATGATGAATGTGATCATAATGTATACCTACAAGGTACCAATAAACTTAATTTTAAAAAGAGATGGGATTTAAACCTAGCCTTGATGAATGATTACAGAAAAAGAGACTAGATGCGTTGATACATTGAGGAGCTACTATGTTTTAGGTGTTTGAGATGTATAATCATATTACTCACAGGTTGTTACTATTCCTAGTTTAAAGATGGGAAACCGAGGTCTATGCAATGAATTTATTGAAAATGCCACAGCTTACACGATATGGCTGCATTTTGATGCAGGCTCTTCCAGGTTTAGCACCATTTGCTTTCTCTGAGACAGCCCAGGGCACACTTGCATCCCGAGGAAGACTGGGCTAGAATTTTCCCTCCTTTGCACTGTAATCCTGTAGCATTTGACTTGTGTGGGTTCTTCAAATGCTCCCTTCTCAAGTTTTCTTATCGAGGGATAACACTATCTCTTCAAGGAGCTGTTGAGATCATTAAATGGGCTCTTACCAGTAAAGTGCTTAGAAGAGCAGCTTGCATTTAAGTGCTCAATGGGTAGTGGCTTCCATGGATGAGGGAAAAGTGCAAGGGAGAAGAGACGCCAGAGAGAAGGGAGCATGGAGAGGGGAGGAGAATTCCCTCTCAAACTGCTGCTTTCCCTCACAGAGTGCATTCTGGGTAGAGGGGATGGGAGCACCAAAGGCACAAAAGCAGGAAAAGCAGCATCATCTGCTCTTACTAAAATGTAGGAGCTAAGGATGGGAGCAGGTCACTATGGCGTAATTCCAGCCTAGATGGAAATTTCTGTGTACACCTACAGCAGTGAACAAAGTTTAAGTCTTATATAAATTCAATTTCCCTGTTTACTTTGTTCCCAGAATGTCTGTGAATGTCTATGAGGGCTGTTAAATAATTTCTTCTCTACTAATACAACCTAGATGTGTTCAATTTATCTACTATTTATTTAACTTCTTTCAATTTCCTTTTTTTGTTGTTGTTGTTTTGTTTTGAGACAGGGTCTCGCTATGTGGTTGAGATTGACCTGGAACTCATTATGTAGTCCAGGCTGGTCTCCAAATCACAGCGATCCTCCTGCCTCAGCCTCCCGAGTGCTGGGATTACAGGTGTGCACCACCATGCCCAGCTTGCTTCTTTAAATTTCAATTAAGCCTATATTTATGAAATTGGAAAAACTTTCAGGTCATGGAGTTGTTGCATATATCTAGTAAATACCTTAGGTATTTGAGTAGATACTAGTGATTAGCAAGTAATTAGAAAAAGGAGAATTTTACCTGTTATTCAGATATCTTTTACTTTCCTCCATATATTAAGATTCATAAACCAAGCATACAACTTATACCCAATTGGAGAGTACCGTTTTTCTTTCATTTCCCAGAGATGCTATTAAATCTCTGGTGACTTACACCTCTGAATTTTACTTCCTCTTAGGAGAATACTAAATGCAGAGATGGCATGCATTTGGTAGCCATTGTATCTTCAAATTATCAAGTAGCAATCAATCAATTTTTTAAACAAATAAGTAAACGATAATCAAGGACCTAAGACATTATTGCAAAAAGGCCCACAGTCCCAATTAGTTAATAAAATCCATCAAGAAAAGTAACCTCGGGACAAGGAAATGCTCGACACATCCATCCTAACTCACGTAAGGATTTTTGTTTTGGTTGACTTACAGCCTACCTTATTCAGGAAAGAATTGAAGATGTTTAATAAAGACCAAAATAAATGAGATGTGAGAACTCCTAGGAAGACAGAAGAACAGACTCCCCCACCCCCAGAGTACAGATCTAAGGAGGCAGGAAAGAGCTACATAAATAAAATTTCTATTATAAATGCTACAGGAAAATCAAGAAAAAGAACTCTAAAGGTTTGGAAAATGTCAAGAAAACTTGCCTGGTAGAAATGAGGCTTGTCATGCAGTACTTAGTTAAAAAGAAACTGCAGATTTGGTGACTCTATGGCCCATTATAGGTGCTAAAGTCTCTTGGGGAAGAAAGCGCTTTTCGAGCAGTAGTTTGGATACAGGTAATACGTGAAGACCTGCATGGGAAGTTTGCCCCTGGCTCTGTGGACTTCACTAATTACCCCATTTTCATAATGAGGCCTGAACTTTGCCTAGTATCTTCACTTCTGTCAACAGATAAAAGGAAAAGGTAAGTAAATTTCACCTTTCAATGCAGAGAATTTCGGGCAGTTTGTGGAAAAATGTTTACTTATAAAGAACTAAATATAAGTAGTTGGATAATGGACTTTCTTGCAAAGAATTGGCTTTTACAGACTCTTAGTATTTGGGGTCTGTAAGGAGTTGCTGGGATCTCCTTTATTGTTTGGCTTCTTCCTTATTACGTTCAAGGGCCAAATATCAAAGTCCACCCCAAGGGGAGGAGTCCTTCTGGGATCTAACAAATTTCAGCTGTATGAGCCACAGTTACCCCTCCCTCCTAGGGAGGACAGAGAAGGCCAATTTCCAAAAATCAGTGGTGAAGCTGCGTGTTCTTCAGGGCAAAGACTTGCCTTTAAAAAACACTGATGCTTTGGCAAGGTGCTCAGCTCCTCATATTCCTCAACTCCTGACGGGGTGTTAGCCTCTTCCGCATAGGCAGGAGGTGAGGGAGGATCCCAAATAATGGGCTCTGCCTAATCGCCGAGGTCGTGCTAAATATACTGGTTCCGGGGCCCAGCCGAGGCCCATTCTCTAGGCGGAAGGCTGGAGTCTGAAGTTTGGGAGACGCTGAGCTAACTGAGTAGCACTAACAATCAGTGCTGGCGAGGTTCCGTCCCTTTGCTCCTCGGTTCCCGGGCAGTGAGCACAGCCCGGAGAGGGGCCGGGCACCTCCCTGGATGCCCTCGCCGCCCCGCGCCC